GGAAAGGTATGAATCCTCTTCTAGATTTTCCGGGAGTAGTAATACATAGCGGCTAGGATTGAGGAATCGGAGAGCCGAGTTCGAATTCCAGTCGAATCCGTTGTATTCACTTACGTGCTAATACTCTTGGGAAAGGTATGAATCCTTTTCTAGATTTTCCCGGAGTAGTAATGCATAGCGGCTAGGATTGAGGAATCGGAGAGCCGAGTTCGAATTCCAGTCGAATCCATTGTATTCACTTACGTGCTAATACTCTTGGGAAAGGTATGAATCCTCTTCTAGATTTTCCCGGAGTAGTAATGCATAGCGGCTAGGATTGAGGAATCGGAGAGCCGAGTTCGAATTCCAGTCGAATCCATTGTATTCACTTACGTGCTAATACTCTTGGGAAAGGTATGAATCCTCTTCTAGATTTTCCCGGAGTAGTAATGCATAGCGGCTAGGATTGAGGAATCGGAGAGCTGAGTTCGAATTCCAGTCGAATCCATTGTATTCACTTACGTGCTAATACTCTTGGGAAAGGTATGAATCCTCTTCTAGATTTTCCCGGAGTAGTAATGCATAGCGGCTAGGATTGAGGAATCGGAGAGCCGAGTTCGAATTCCAGTCGAATCCATTGTATTCACTTACGTGCTAATACTCTTGGGAAAGGTATGAATCCTCTTCTAGATTTTCCCGGAGTAGTAATGCATAGCGGCTAGGATTGAGCAATGGATGCAAGATAAATGTGACGTCAATGACAATGACCAAGGAATATTGTGCAACTTTTGGCATGACACACCGGTTACACTTATTTCGGGTAGATGATAGGGTTCGGATGCAAAACAAGAGACCCAATTATAAAGTTTGGTGGTGGGTTATATACTGGGGTGATTGCCGAAAGATATGGTATAAATTTTTCTTACTCACTCAGTGAATATATATATATATGTGTGTGTGTGTGAGTGTGTGTGCGTATTTGTGTGTGTGTATTTGTGTGATGTGTATGTGTGTTGGACAGTTTTTGCCTTTAACTCTCCCGAAACGAAAGCCACTATACGAAGCCTAGAACGGCTCATGATCAAACATAATAGACATTCGTTGTCTGTTATATTTAACAATATATGCTTGAATAATGATCTGCTACCCCTACACTATATATATATATATATATATATATATATATATATATATATATATATATAATATATAACTATAAGAGAGAGAGAGAAGGAGAGAAAATAGCAGTAAAAATAATATATAGTAATAAAAAATGTTCATTGCCCGTTTTTTACTATTACATTCGCTCGGTCAGTTTAAATGGTATTCTTTTAAATCAACGCTACGTTGTTATCACTAATAACAAAGTTGATTTATTATCTATTATTATCGCTATATATATATATATATATATATATATATATATATATATAGATATATATAGATATATATACACACACATTTCATTGAATACGACAGACAAGTTGCTTTTATTTAGTTTTTTATACAATTTCTCATGATGCGATCTAATAATTTATTTCTTTTCGGATGATAAATTATATAAAAATTGTCCGAATATTCTTTTTATCCGAGCGCTTTCGGCTATACATTTAGCCATTTTCAAAGATTAAATATTTTAACTGTTAAATAAGAAATAATTTGTAATATGTATGTTTTATAAAATATTTTCATTTTTCAAAACACCGTCAAACATATAAAACATACATACAACAAACTATTTCTTATTTATATGTTTTTTTTATATATATATATATATATATATATATATATATATATTTATATATATATATATATATATATATATTTATATATATATATATATATATATATATATATATATATATATATATATAAAAGAAAGAACAGTAAGATATATAATCCGGTGTTCTTGTTGATATTTTTTATTTTTATTTTTTACAAAAGAGTGCTCAATCTAAACTTACAGAGCATAAATATTATAAATTAACTGATTGAAAATATGTTTTTAGCTACACAGTAATAACCATGTTTCAAAAACTGAAGCTAAAAGCTTCAAATTTAATTATATAATTAAATTAAATGCATTAGTTCCGTTTCATCTTCAAGCGAATTTTAGAATAACGTATTTTTAAATTTACTGAGTTTTAAACGCACATATACATTCATAATTTCTTGTTTCCAAGGATAAAGAGAAATCCAATCATTTAGACAGGGGCAGTAGCGTGTTCATTTTTATTAACTATTGTTTTATCAATTTTTAGTTACGTTCGAAAAAGAAGAGGTTATTTTAGGGAGGCTAGGTGTGTATTTTCCAACGAACTCTGACATCCGTTAAACGCATGTCGTCTATTTTTTTTTTTTTTTTCAACGGGAAAATGTTTTTCAGCATTTTTTTCGTACTTGTATATTTAAAGATTCTATCTAGGGGTGTTTGGGTTAGAATAAGTTTTATTTAACTACAATTTTAAAATATTTTTAAACTTAATTACTAATAGACTATATTTCTTTTTAAAACAAGTAAATGTAATAGAATTACTTAAATTATTTAAAATTATTTTTTCGTGTCAAATATAAGTATGTACATTACCAGCCCCCATTTTTTTTTATTATTTAAGGAAAACTTTTGATAATGACGGCAAAGAATAGCTATTTCATTTCTTTGATTCAGTAAATTTTTATTTTTTATAAACTTATTATATATTGTTTTATATTATTTTTATAGATAAAAATATTTAAATAAATGCTCTGTTCATAATAAAATAATTGGTGTAGTTAGTCCATTTTATAATTTCATATAAGATTTAAGATTTAAGAAACATCAGATATTTTATATGTCGTGCTCAAATTTAAAAATATTAAAATAATATTAAAAAATAGAGCGGTAATAACATTATATGAACAGATCACTTAACTTTTAAATATCAATCCCGACTTTGAAGTTTCTTGGTAAAATTTCCAGTCTTCAGGAGGTTTACTAAGAAATTTCTCAGTCGAGATAAAATTGATATTTAAAGCTTAAGTAATCTTTTCATATAATATTATATATATATATATATATATATATATGTGTGTGTATGTGTGTGTGTGTGTGTGTGTGTGTGTGTGTGTGTGTGTGTGTGTGTGTGTGTGTTGTGTGTGTGTGTTCTATGCATTCAAATATCAATCAATAACGAGACGCTTTATTATAGAATGCTCGTAACCTAAATTTGTGTTAATGATGTTCTGGGTGGAACTTTTTCCAAAATAAAATAATTCCGTATATTTGAAACTCAACGGCATGTGAACAGGTATACATATTGAAATGCAAGTTTGTGCAGACCCGCCACTGTGTACGAATGTCGTTTTAGTTCCGTACATGTAAAGTTGGGGGAGGCACAGTGGGGTAATCGATAGCGGCTTGGATTGAAGAATCAGAGAGCTGAGTTTAGATTCCAGTCGAATCCATTACATTCACTTACGTGTTAATACCCTTGGGAAAGGCATGGACCCTCTTTTTCTCCGCGCCTAGCTAATAATATCAGGACAGACTGGTTCTATAAAGTCTTTTCATTATCTTTCACTCCTAGTATTTTCTTGCAGCTTAGTTGTATTATAGCCTTGATTGGGATGAATTGATTAAAAAATTAAAAAATGAATACACACAGACACACACACACACACACACACACATATATATATATATATATATATATATTCGTGTATGTGTATTTGCGTGTATGTGTATTTGCGTGTACATGAATAAGAGCTTGAAAAATAGATGCAAGCATTTCCGTTGTTGTTGTTGTTGTAGTGGTGGTAATGTTAGCAGTAAGCGATGGGTGTGGTGTGGCGTTGTGTTTGTGCGCTCGTTCCAGCCCTTTCTCTTTTGCGCACGCGCCAGTGTTAGAGATGTCCTGCCCGTTCATCCTTGTATAAACGAGAACGAACGCTCGGGCATGCGTCGTTTCGCGCGCTGCTGTACGCCCTTAGCCATTTAGATGCAGAGCTCAAACGCCCCCCTCACAATTGTAATGGGGAAACAAGCGCTAAAAAAGTGAATAGAAACAGAAGCACGGGACCCATTGTTCAAGCGTTTATCATTGGGTAGTGGGTATGGGAGAATTGGATTGAGTGTGGGGACGGAACTGATAATGGGGATTTTGTTTGTGGTGAAGCACAGGAGGATTTGTTTGAATGAACCGTGAAGAAGGAGAAGAATTTGAAGAAGAATAGTTTGAAGAAGAAGAGGAATTTGAAGAAGAAGAAGAAGAAGAAGAAATTTGAAGAAAAAGAAGAATTTGCTTGAAGTAGAAAAAGGGAACAGGGGGATGAGAATTTGAAGAAGAATTTGAAGAATTTGAAGAAGAAGAAGAAGAAGAATTTGATGAAGAAGAACTTGAAGAAGAAGAATTTGAAGCAGAATTTAAAGAAGAATTTGAAGAAGAAGAAGAATTTGAAGAAGAAGAAGAAGAAGAAGAATTTGAAGAAGAAGAAGAAGAAGAAGAAGAAGAAGAAGAAGTTGATGAGGAGGTGGTGGAGGAGTGGAAGGTGGAGGAGTGGAAGGTGGAGGAGTGGAAGGTGGAGGAGAAGAAGAACGATGATGAGAAGAAAAGAAGGAAAGTGTGAAGTAGGTAGAAAGAGGTGTAGGAGAATGTTTAAAAAAAAATACGTGGAAAAACAGAAAAAGAAAAGGACAATGAAATACCGAATGAGATATAAAGTGAATTGATAAAAAAAAAAAAAAGGAAAGAAAAAAGATAGTTGCTGAATAAAAGAAAAAAAAATTGTTCTTTTTATATTTACAAGCTTTGGAAAAAAATAATGGTGCGCATAAAAACAGGAGAAGTTTCTTGAATGAACGCACTCCGTCTAAACATAACAGTCTTAGTGACAGCTGGGGATGGCTGTCACGTGGTAAGGGAGAACGGAAAAGCTCACTTTAGAATCATTCCTTGGTGCGGAGGATAGAAATAAAAATCAGAAGGAAGAATAGAAACTAATAATAATAATAATAATAATAATAATAATAATAATAATAATACGAAGAAATGGCGGGAAGCGTTGGAAGATGAAAGTTCCAAGAAAAGAATTTCGTAGATTGAGGCGGAGATGGAGAAATCAAGAAAGGTTAAGCGGTGGTGACGGAAGTGTTGGTAGCAGACAACAGGAAAGCGGGGGCGGGAAGGGCGGATATCTAAAAAGACCGACGAAAGACCTAGATGAGTGATGAAAAGTTGATGCCTTTTTGTTTGTTTGTTTTTCTTTTCGTTTTTTTTTTATTTTCAATTACGAAATTTAGGCATTCGCCCGTCTAATTGAGTTTTACAGCGGTCATTGATTCAAATCTAATATTTTGACAATCTCTTCCCGTAGATTAGCGGGTCGGTAGTGTATCAACCTTTTCAAGCGTGCAAAATGACTTGTACTGTATACAAACACCCCACCATAATGTATGGATTAAAGTGTTTGAGTGGGTGCGTAGGATCATTACATACATTTGAAAGAAAGTGAGGGTGAAAGCGAAAGAAAAACAGAGAGAGGAAAGAGAGGGAGAAAAAAAGGCAAATGAATGGGGAAAATGAGAAAAAGAAGAAAAGAAAATACAGAGACGGAGATAAAGTGAGAGAAAGAAATGAAAGTGAAGGGATAGATTTGGACGTGAATAATTTTAAAAATGAAGAATATTGAATGGAAACGTACAAGAGAGTGGATTGAGTTAAAATAAATAAAAAGGAAGAAAAAAAATGATGAGAAAGTGGGAGAAGGAGAAAAGGAAAAAGGCAAAAGACTTTTTTATGATCGGAAGGAAAGAAAAAATGTTTTTAAATAGAAATGAAAGTGAGTGAAAAAAAATGGGAAATTAACAGAGAAAGAAAAAATACATAAAAGAGAATATGAACATGAAGCATGAGATAGATAGATAGATAGATAGATAGATAGATAGATAGATATGAATAGGCATACATTGACTAAGATCGAAAAATATAGATAGATAGGTAGAGATCGATAGATATAGTCAGGTAGACAGGAATAAACGTAGATAGATAGATAGATAGATAGATAGATAGATAGATAGATAGATATGAAAAGGCATACATAGACTAAGATCGATAAATATAAATAGATAGATAGAGATCGATAGATATGGTCAGATAGGAATAAACGTATATAGATAGATAGATAGATAGATAGATAAGAATAGTCATACATAGATAGACTAAGATCGATAAAAATAGATAGATAGGTAGAGATCGATAGATATGGTCAAATAGATAGGAATAAGCGTAGATAGATAGATACAAATAGGCATACATAGACTAAGATCGATAAATATAAATAGATAGGTAGAGATCGATAGATATGATCAGATAGGAATAAACGTAGACAGATAGATAGATAGATAGATAGATAGATAGATAGATAAGAATAGTCATAAATAGATAGACTAAGCTCGATAAATAAAGATAGATAGGTAGATATCGATAGGTGTAGTTAGATAGATAGGAATAAGTGTAGATAGATAGATAGATAGATAGATAGATGGATATGAATAGGCATACAGAGACAGACTAAGATCGATAAATAGGTAGAGATCGATAATGGTCAGATAGATATGAATAAACGTAGATAGATAGATAGATAGATAGATAGATAGATAGATAGATAGATAATGTCCAATTTTAATTTGAAATTTGAAAATTCGAAAATTTGAATTCGGTGCAAAAAGGGGCCATCACACATATATAAAAACTTAATTTTATGATTATTTTTTCACTAACTGATAGTTAAAAGAATGTAAAAATTCTGATACAAATATTTATATTTTTTAAACAGAATTGTCAAATATTTGCGATGGAAAAATGTTTGAATTGCGTAAGCATACGAAACACGTCGATTTTGAAAATTTCCCAAAATTCATCTAACTATTGGATGTTTATGAAAATTTGACATCATACTTATTATAAAACCCAGGTTGTGTTTGTGTGTGTGTGTGTATGTTTATATATTGGATCGGATTTCCTACATTTTTCAACCGATTTCAACAAAACTTCACAGGACTACGTAAAATTACTTTGCGGTGGTTCTAACAGCGCCAAAAATTGGAAAAACACAATTGTTTTTGCACGAAATCGAATTGAAAACACGATTAAGCGGCATCACGAGAATGAAAGGGGGACAACTCATATCGAGTTATACTTATTATAAAACCCATGTTGTGTGTGTGTGTGTGTGTGTGTGTGTGTGTGTGTGTGTGTGTGTGTGTGTGTGTGTGTGTTCATTTTATATATGGGATCGGATTTCTTCTTTTTTTCCCTACATTTTTCAACCGATTTCAACAAAACTTCACTTTTTTTTTTTGGCAGGTAGTGTTTCTTATTGTCTTGCACACTTTTTTCTTTATTTTTAAATACAGAATGCTTTAAAAATTCCATTTACAAGACATTTGTTTATAATAAAATTCTATTCAATCGGTAGACTCATAACAATTGAAAACAATGTTCTTGTTTGAGTTTGGGTTTGACCAATTCGTAAAAAAAAAAAAAAAATTAAGACATGCGTGTCCGTCAACCTTAAACAATAATCTTTGTCAATTTTATTTTTCAGTCTTTATGATGGTCGATACTTGATCTATCTCATTGTTACATCCCCAAGCAAAGCCGGGCTCTACTTATTACAAATGTAGATAAAAGAGATCACGCACATTTCTACTCACACAGAGAATATATATATATATATATATATATATATATATATATATATATATATATATATATAAAATGGTGGTAATTACTTGGAAAAACTTGATATTTCTGACTTGTAGTAGAACAAATCGGTACCCAAGGAAAAATGATGAATTAAAAATGAAAAAACCAAGGACATTAAACTAAGTTGAAAACAATCATCCAACGTTCAAGCTCAAAGCCCAAAGAAAGAAAAACTCCAAGACGAGTAAAAGGCAACTACGTTAAGTGCTCAATACACGAAGTAGACCAAAACTTAATATAATCCTAAGAAGCTAGGCAAACCTACCTAGGTTTCACCTAAACGGATATTATTTGATATATATATCATATATCCCTAATGAGCCAAATGATAACACACACCCACTGCAATACACACGCTTACACATATCATACTCACTCACTCCCTAAGAACCAAATAACACACACACAAACACTAAACAGAGACACATCTCCTCTCCAGGACCAATAAAACTGTCAAACTGACCACGGGAATTCAGAGCAGCATGGATCTATCCAGCTCTTATCTCAAATAACAACTTAAAAGAGACTGTTTGACCAACACAAGGAATGTTAAAAGATTCATGTTAAAAAGATAAAAAAATGAAAAAACAAATGAAAACTACAGACAAAAGTTCATTTTCTCCACCAAGACATTCATTTCTGTAGTTTACTGCTGCCAGCAAGCAGAAATATTTCTTCTCTCGATGATGGCCATTTTGGCCGAAACTAGTCGAGGAATCTAAATGGAATAATAATAATAATAATAATAATAATAATAATAATAATAACCAATATCCAGAACGTGCAAATAAACCCAATGTTGATAAAGTTAATACTCATCGATGGTTACGAGCATCTGGATTAAAGTCTGAAACTGAAGGCTTTATTCTTGCAGCGCAAGACCAGAGTCTTTTCACTAGGAATTTTCAGGCAAATATCATACATAATAATGTGGATCCAAAATGCAGGTTCTGTGACAAATACCAAGAAACAATAGACCATCTAATCTCAGGATGTTCTATACTTGCCCCAAATGAATATAAAATCGTCACGATAGAGTGGGGCAATACTTACACTGGACAATGTGCAAACACTTTGGAAAATGTGTAAGCAAACACTGGTATGAACATCGGCCAGCGCCGGTTACAGAAATAGAAGATGTCACCATTCTATGGGATTATACCATCCACACAGACAGAAAAATTGAAGCAAATAGGCCGGACATCATTGTCAAAAACCAGAAAGAAAAAACTTGCCTACTAATTGATATGGCTTTGTCCAGCGGATTGTAACATAGCAACCAAGGAATTTGAAAAACTATCAAAATACAAAGACCTGGAAATTGAAATAGAAAAAATGTGGAAATTGAAAACAAGAATAATACCAGTGGTAATAGGTGCACTTGGAATTATAAAAAATGGAACAAAACAACACATTGAAAGAATCCCTGAAAACCCCAGCTTAAGAGACATACAGAAAATTGTCTTATTAAGTACAGCACACACACTAAGGAGAACTTTGTCTATGTAACGCTAGCAACTTCATCGGAGATAAAAAAAAAAAAAAAAAAAAAAAAATTAACATGAAATGTGGCTATAACAACACACCACGACCTGCCTTAGGTCTTTCCGCAGACTTGGTAGGTAGTGTGTCCATAGCAGAAATCGAATGATGATGATGATAATAATAATAATAATAATAAAAAGAAAGAATATTAATCTACAACCCAGTGTGTCTGAAGATTTTAATTTTTTAATATTTTTTTATTGTTCCAAAAATATGTATATATATATATATATATTGTGCTTATTTAGAGAAAATAAAACTCGTGCAATTGTATTTACTATTTTTTTTTTTTTAATTCAATGATTTTTCAATTTTTCTCATGATTCAGATTTCATTGAGGTTCACACTTTTTAAAATAAATTCTTGAACAAAAAGATAAAAAAATAAAATTTGGGGCTATTGAGAAAAATCGATACGGATTTTTGAAAATATAGAAATAAAATAAAATATAACTTTTGGAAGCTCTGAAAAAAAAAATAACGGTGCTTATAAAAAAAAAAAAAATGAAAATAAAATATGCTTAACCCCTTTTTTAAACTTATATTCTACAGTTACTTTCCGGGACCAAAAAACAAAAACAAAAAAACTTTGATATATTCTAGAGATTTTTTAATAATTTTCTATAATATTGATTTAATAATTTGATATTTTTAAGTCCTTATTTTTTTCTTTTAAAAGGAGCAGCACTCGAGGATTTCGTTTTTAAAAACTAGATACCCGTTAATGAATACATATACAAAGACTGTCTATATTTCTGAGTTCAGGTATTGTAATTATTTGCCCTATTTACTGTTGCCCTCATCTTCGTTGCCATATTCCCGACGTTTAGACCATTGTACGTTCCGACTTTCTTTAGGTGATACTAAGGCATCAGGAAGAGGCATGGCATGTGGAATTAGAACAGATCTACCCCGGCGGACGAAATAAATGGTTCAGTTGCAATTACTTAAGGAAGGCCGGAGACTACAACGGACGAAACGTCGTGAATATGGCAACGAAGATGAGGACAACTGTTCGAACAATGTAAATATGCAAAGACATTGAAAAATATTCTCTCTAACTATTTTTAGAATAATTTAAAAAATATTACGCGACTGCACACAGTCGTAATTTTTTATATATTCAGTTGTCCCCATTTTAGTTACGTCATAGCTAAGAGGCACTGATTGAAAGAATAAATAAATGTATATCTTCCACGTTATTTTTAAAGGAATTTTCTCTCGAATTTGTAAATGAACTAAGTAATATATTAAACGGTAATATTGTAGGTAAGTATATTATACATAGAATTTAGTCAATAATTTCAATGGGCATTTTAAAGATAAATCTTATATTTTAGTAATAATAATTACTGTTGTAACCGAGGGAAGGTTACTGAATAGAATAAGCAAACGAAGTTTGGTAATAAATGATAATACTTAGGACAAGAACAATGCATATAAGATTTGTCAGCGACGCGTAGAAGTAGTAGTCAACTGTTAGAAGTTATTCAAGTGAATTCTACAATGAATCTCCAACTGCAGACCAACATACAGTATTTACTACTGTATTTATATAAATGGGGACATATCCATTATCGTCTGTAGGTATGCTGCAACAATTACAAAAATCTTTTATTTTACAGAAGATGGAAATGATGAGGACTACATAATTTTAGAATATGATATAGGAGGAGATTATCTAAATAAGGATTTCTTTATTTAGATTAAAATAATATAGTAGATAGGGCATTGATCTCTCATACCTCCATGCAAACCATTGAAATATTTTTGAATTTAATGATCAGCAACAAGAAATTACAGAAAATAATCAGATTGATTTCTATTACGAGCATCCATACTTACAAACGGAGGCAATTCAGTATATAGCTGTTAATACGAATTTGTCACTATCGATCAGCTGGTAGTACAAATATTATTACTTCTTTCTTATGTTCCGTGTCCACTCAGGACTTAGGCGATCATGGTTCTCCACTACTTCTTGTTCCTTGTAGCTCTTAACAAATTTTGTCTTTCTGTTATTTCTCCTAAACCCTGTTTAGCCATTCATTTACTCACTCACTAAATAAGTCATGCGTTGTTTTGCTCTGTCACTCTTACCTTCATTCTATCCTGTGAGTATCA